AAAAAAAAAAAAAAAAAAAAAAAACACATCTTAGTAAAACCAATACCTTCTCAGCTTTGCATCGAAGCTAAAAATTGAGTTAAGTTTTAATACGATTATTGTTTTACGTTAAAACTAATATTTTGTTTAACAATTTATTATATTTATTTATATCACATATTAGTCGTTTTTATGATTACGTATTGACCAATTTTTTCGTTTTAAGCGTTATAATTTTAACGTCATTATTACGTTTTCCATTACTGCAGAAAATAATGAAGTTTTGAATCGGGCCGGGATTCAGTTTGATGGTAAGTTTAACAATATAACATTTATTTATGTATATATACTGAAAAAATGAAACTGGTAAAATTTGAGTACAATAAGTCAACCCCTTCACGTGCCTCAAAGGGGTTGAAGTTCTTCAAAAATGGGGTGGATTATCTTTTTTTGAGTGTACGCTCTTTATTTTTGAAGTTTCGCCAAAAACACAAAGAACAATTTTTATAGAACTAAATGTGAACAAAAAATAAGGTAATACATTATAATTTTATAAAATTAATATTTTTCGTAAAAATAAAAAAAATCAGTTTCACTTAATTTTTTTTAAAAAATGACATAGTTTTAAGTTATACTTTTCCAGTGTCTTAAATTTTAATCATACGCAGAAATTGTACAGAAGTAATATTAATCACCGTGATATCTTCTATAAAAAACGATATTTGAGTTTTTTTTTAATCCTTTCCAAAAAAAAATTTAAAACAACTACGAAAACGTGTTTTTTTTTTTAATTTTTTTGCATGTATGTTTTTTTGTTTATAAACGAACAAATTTTCTTAGTTATATTAAATTAAAAAAACGGTAGCACAGTGGGGTCGCGGCATAGTGGAGACATTGCATAGTTGGGTTCAGTATAGATTTAATCTGACAGTGATTAAAATCACTATCATAAGAAACGCTTCGATGCAAATCTGTAGATAGTGTTTAATTTTAAAAAATTGATGGATAATTGCAAAAGCAACATCAACTTCTATTAAAATAAAATACATAACCCATAATTTTCATACAAAAATAGCATATTTTTGAATACGGTAGCCTTTTGCGCATAGAAAAAGGTCGTCGGGACAAATTTTTTTTTTTCATTTAGTAGTACATAAAATAAGCTTTAATTTGATTTATGTTTAAAGGACGCAGTATATCCGGAACATTTTCAAAAATTAAGTTAAAAAAGTTAGTTTTGTAAAAAAGTTGCTATTTTAATTCTCCCCTGTGAGCAGAATAAGTGTTAGATTTTCAAAAAAAAAATGATATCAAATGAAAGGAAATTACCTAAGGTTTCAATATAAAGAAATATTATTTTGATTAGTTAATATTTAAAAAAGTTAAGGGAGTTTTAAGTACAAAAAACATTCTGATAGAAGGTGATTTTTATCGTAAACATTACATTTTTTTTTAATTTCGACAGCCATTTGCACATAGAAGATAAGATGTCGGGACAAATTTTTTTTTTTTATTTTATAGTACTTGAAATAAGCTATAATTTGATATATGTTTAAAGGACGCAGTATTTCCGGAACATTTTCAAAAGTTCAGTTGAAAAAGTTCTATTTTTTATACAATGTTTCAAAGTTTGAACCCCCCCTATATAAGGGGAAATTGTCTAATTTTAATAAAAAGTATGTCAAATGGAAGATGTACTTATAATGTATTTAGAAAAAAAAAAATTGTGCTGATACATGCATTTTTCGAAAAGTTATAGCATTTTTAAGTTGAAAATTAAAAATTGAAAATCGAAAATTTTAACACAAAAATAGTGTTTTTTTAACTACGGCAACTGTTTACATGCAGAAGATAAAGTGTCGGGACAAATTTTTTTTTTTCATTTTATAGTACATAAAATAAGCTTTAATTTGATATATGTTTAAAGGACGCAGTATTTCCGGAACATTTTCAAAAATTAAGTTGAAAAAGTTAGTTTTTGTAAAAAAGTTGCTATTTTAAATCCCCCCTGTGAGCAGAATAAGTGTTAGATTTTCAAAAAAAAATGATATCAAATGAAAGAAAATTACCTAAGGTTTCAATATAAAGAAATATTATTTTGATTAGTTAATATTTAAAAAAGTTAAGGGAGTTTTAAGTACAAAAAACATTCTGATAGAAGGTGATTTTTATCGTAAACATTACATTTTTTTTATAATTTCGACAGCCATTTGCACATAGAAGATAAGGTGTCGGGACAAATTTTTTTTTTTCATTTTATAGTACATAAAAAAAGCTTTAATTTGATATATGTTTAAAGGACGCAGTATTTCCGGAACATTTTCAAAAGTTCAGTTGAAAAAGTTCTATTTTTTATACAATGTTTCAAAGTTTGAACCCCCCCTATATAAGGGGAAATTGTCTAATTTTAATAAAAAGTATGTCAAATGGAAGATGTACTTATAATGTATTTAGAAAAAAAAAAATTGTGCTGATACATGCATTTTTCGAAAAGTTATAGCATTTTTAAGTTGAAAATTAAAAATCGAAAATCGAAAATTTTAACACAAAAATAGTGTTTTTTTAACTACGGCAACCGTTTACATGCAGAAGATAAAGTGTCGGGACAAATTTTTTTTTTTTATTTTATAGTACTTGAAATAAGCTATAATTTGATATATGTTTAAAGGACGCAGTATTTCCGGAACATTAATCAAAAGTTCAGTTGAAAAAGTTCTATTTTTTATACAATGTTTCAAAGTTTGAACCCCCCCTATATAAAGGGAAATTGTTTAATTTTAATAAAAATTATGTCAAATGTAAGATGTACTTATAATGTATTTAGAAAAAAAAAAATTGTGCTGATACATGCATTTTTCGAAAAGTTATAGCATTTTTAAGTTGAAAATTAAAAATTGAAAATCGAAAATTTTAACACAAAAATAGTGTTTTTTTAACTACGGCAACTGTTTACATGCAGAAGATAAAGTGTCGGGACAAATTTTTTTTTTTCATTTTATAGTACATAAAATAAGCTTTAATTTGATATATGTTTAAAGGACGCAGTATTTCCGGAACATTTTCAAAAATTAAGTTGAAAAAGTTAGTTTTTGTAAAAAAGTTGCAATTTTAAATCCCCCCCCATGAGCAGGTTAAGTGTTAAATTTTCAAAAAAATTATATCAAATGAAAGGAAAATATCTAAGGTTTTAGTTTAAAAAAAAATTATGTTGATTTGTTGATTTTTGAAAAAGTTATGGAAGTTTTAAGAAAAAAAAGTGAAAAAAATGACAAAATTTGTCGATTTTTAAATTTGTAATTTTTTTGGATATTTCCCCCATTTGCGGGGAACGAGGGAAAATTTTTCAATTTTTAAGGGTAATGTCTTCAACTAGATACAATTTGTGATCTTTTGACGTATTGTTGAAAGAAATCGGTCCAGTGAGAGCTGAGAAAAAGTAGTGACAGACACAAAAAAAAAAAAATAATAATAAAAAAATAAACACATCATGGTAAAATTAATACCTTCTCAGCTTCGCATCGAAGCTAAAAGAAAACGATACCCGGTCTCCGAAGAGACCCATCCGATGGTATGGATGCTTCGCCGAAAAGACCTGGCCGTTCGCCGTTCGAATTACGTTATAAAGATAAGATGCAAAGTATATAATTATCAATTTAGTATGTATATACAAATAGAGTAAATAGTGTCCAAAAGTGTATATGTTATGACAGATAAATTAATTATTTGTTTGTATACAAGTAATATAAAATACAGACTGCAAATACGGTCAAATTTGACTGACTTAGCACGGTAATTGTACTGCATAAGCATGATAAATGAATTCTAATTTTGATTTACTTAGCATGTTAAGACGATACAGATATGATCCTAGATCCCTCCGTATGACGGTACAACCTATGTTAAAAACATTTTATTCAAAATTTAAATAAGAGTTAAACCATTGATTTATTTACAACATATACAGTTTCACTCAATATGGATTTATATAAACAGTAGTTGAGATACAAGTGCTATAGAAATTTCTATTGAACAATGTAAATTAAGGGGTGGAAAAATGTTCGAATACTTTGAGTGACGACTTTTTTCATTTCTTAAGTTTCATTATAAATCATGTCACTAATAATACAGCAGAGAAGTAAATAAATTAACATGATCAATAAAATAAATTATTTGTTTCTTTATTTTTAGTTAAATAGTTATAGTTTTAGTTTCATAAATAGGCAACAACAAGATATAATGTTTTTCAATTTTTTTCATTTTTATAAAAAAATTAATATTAACTATTTATTGACCAATTTAGTATCTATTTAAAAAAAGCCATCTGTAAAACGTCAAGGCTTATTAATTTATAGACTTATATTTCATTATTCAATGTTGACTGAAACAAAAGAAAACAAGTTTTTACTAGTATTTTTGGTACAATAATGGCAATCGATAAATAAAATGTTTACTTAGTTTTAAATAAGTATTATTAAATATTAAACTTAATTTAGTAAATTTTTTTTATTGCAATTTTAAAAATACTTAAAAAGGCATTTTTAACATTATAAAAACATAGTAGTGATATTAGATAAATAGAATTTCTTTAAATCTATCATTTCCACAGTTTTATTCGAATACACCGATTGTCAATCCAAAAATGTGTTTCTATATTTTCATTTTTATGTATCTAACCAGCAGTTTTTCAAATGGACTACTTTGCTCTTCTTATCCTTTAAATGCGGTAAATAGATATCATTTAATTTTTAATAATTTTTAATTGTTAAATGTTTTTTTTAATTTGAAAATAAATTTTTGGGGACATCTATATGTTTATTGAGACGTAGATTATTTTTTATTCTTACTTATCTTACTATCTATCTTACTTTGGATATATTAGATTTCCCGAAAAAATACTTTTTAGCATTAAAATCATTCAGCTACACCACGTTTCAAATTTCCTTTTTGTATAAAAAAACCCAGCACAGTGGAGTCGCGGCATAGTGGGGATGTTGCATAGTTGGGTCCAGTATAGATTTAATCTGACAGTGATTAAAATCACTATCATAAGAAACGCTTCGATGCAAATCAGTAGATAGTGTTTAATTCTAAGAAATTGGTGGATAATTACAAAAGCTACATTATCTGCTAGTTTCTTATTAATACCCTGATTAAGATAAAGTATGTCGAATGAAAAAGGGATTATTAAAAAATATTATTTCTCATAAAAAAATTGTGTTGATTCGTACACTTTTCAATGAGTTATAGCATTATAAAGTTAAAAATGTAACCAACCCAACCCAACATCAACTCCTATTTCCTTAATTATATCCAGATTAGTAATTAGTTTAATTATCTATTATATAATTTTTATAATTAATTATTTTCAAATTATTATCGATTTTTAATATATTAAAAGTAATCATTTTGAACCAACTTCTTTTTGTCCTTTAAAGTGAAAGTTTAAAAAAAAAAATATGAATTTATTACCATAACTTTTAACTCAACTTGCAAGTATGAAATAGATATCATTAAATAGAAAAACATGAAATTGGTAGAGTATTTCAAAAACAACAATAACACTTATTCCCTTAATTTTACTCCGATTTATAATTATAATATATAAATACATAAAAATTACAGTAATTAAATTGAGTATGAAAGTGGTATTCAATAATATAATATTGTAATTTTTACGGAGATATTATAAAAATAAAAAGGAGTTGTATATTCATATACTTTTAATGCGTATACAAATTTAAAGGAATTTATGCAATACTTTTTAATAAAAAAATTTTGTTACTTATGAATAAATACACTAAACAAAAGGAACTTTCATCAGAAAAAAAATATACTTTTCTAAATAAACTTTTCGTGATGTTTTCAAATGTGCAATTAAACTTTTTCTATTACTTCTAAGTTTTAATATTATTACTTATTATTAAAAAATAAGTATTTACATATAAAAAAAAATAATTAAGAACAAAAAAAATTGTATTAAATTAATACTGATTTTGATTTTTAATATGTTAAAGGTAATCATTTTGAACCTATTTTTTATTGTCTTTTAAAGTGAAAGTTTTAATGAAAAATACCTTCTCAGCTTCGCATCGAAGCTAAAAAATGAATTTGTTACCATAACTTATAGTTCAACTTGCAAGTTTGAAATTGACATTATTAAATTGAAAAAAATGAAATTTTTAAGATTAATATGCAATCTGGAAATTTTATAATTACTAATTACAGTACATTTATCAGAAAAATTCGATTTTTTTCATTTTTATTNACAGTACATTTGTCAGAAAAATTCGATTTTTTTACATTTTTATCGTAATAGATAACTGAAATAGAAAGAATAGTAATCATATCCTAATAACTTTTGGTGTTTAAAAAAATTCTGCAATTGAAATATTCAGAACTTAATTAATTTTAATAATTTACTTTAATTAAATGAACCAATCAAACCAAAGTAGTTAAAAAGATTTACTCAATTGAGCATATTATCAAAAATATAATTATAATTGTAAAACTCCCATCGTTAAATTCAGGTGAAACTAAAAATCATTTTTTTTTTAATTTATGATTTATATAGCAACATATTACAAAAAAATTTGCCATATTATAGACTGGTAGTAGCACACAGAAATAGAGTTAAAAAATTAATAAATTATAAAGTAAAATTATTTACTTTTGTAGTTGAATACTTTTATCATATCAAATTTAATTCGACAATAAATAATTTAAGAATATTAAAAATTAATGATTTTAATTGTTTGTATGGACAAATCTAGTTAAGCTACTTTTTATTTGAATAAGGAATATTTTTTTGATTTTTAAGAGTAATAACTTAAACTAATCATTAACTTAAATATCATAAACTTAAATGAATCATTTGACGTATCGTTGAAAAAAGTAGGTCTAGTGAGGGTTGGCAAAATAAATCGTAGCCACAAAAGAACCACATAGTAAAATAATATTAACATGAATATCAATTTCTTCTCAGGAGGGGAGACTATAGTGATAAGATCCTTTATATTTATTGAAATTGTTGAATCTAAATGAGATAAATATCAAATGATTTGAAAATTCTATTTTAACTCAAAAAAGAAATGCAAAATTTTAGAAGTTACAGACGGATTTGAACCTCGTACCCTAGGCGTGAAATATCAAGATGTAACTCATTCGGCAACTGTTCGTTGCTTTTTGTTGCACGATAAAATTGGCTATTTAAGCTAACTCAAATTTAAAAATTACTTTTTCGACTTTAAAAAAGTAAAAAAATTTTAATAAGTATAATTTCATATGTCTTATGAACTTTATTCTATGTCAATGAAATTATATAATATTCATGAAAGTCAGTTTATTCCCCTAATAAGATATTTTAAAATAAAATAAAATACAAAACCCAGAATTTTAATAAAAAAAAATAAATATAGTTTAAAAAAACTAAAATACACGCTTTTAAATNGTTTAAAAAAACTAAAAAACACGCTTTTAAAGCACATTGAACTAAAAAGTTCAAAATAATTTTTAAAATAAGCTTAAAACAATATTGAACGAAAAGTACTAGAATTATTGTGATAAAAGCGTCGGGCGCTCAATATACGAAAAGTATGGCACGAAGCACCCACGCTTTTATCACAATAATTCTAGTACTTTTCGTTCAATATTGTTTTAAGCTTATTTAAAAATTATTTTGAACTTTTTAGTTCAATGTGATTTAAAAGCGTGTTTTTTAATTTTTTTAAACTATATTTATTTTTTACTTTTTAGTTTTATGTTATGATAATAGTTACTATCAATATCATGGTTGTAACGGGTAACGGGAATACAGGGTTCGATTCCGGGGAGAGAGTCTGAGAAACGGCTAGTGACGAAAAATGATACGGGAATCATCCCCCGTAATCGGAATGAATACACCACATATCTCTTAATGAGAATAAAGCGTATTAATATATAAGTTTTAATAGTAATTAGAATATATATATA